GAAGATATTCTGCCTGTTTTCTCCCCAGACACCTCCCTGTTGACCAACATCAAGCATTTATGAGATGGCCGCCTAGAGTTACAGGAAACGCAATAGGCCTCTGGGTCAAGCTAATTGACCAACTCAGGATGAAACCCTTGAGCTGGGCCTAATTTAGTCCCTAAGGAACTAAGCTAAATCACCCACGTATCAAATTTTACACACAAGATTGATCTAAGAACAGCCACAATACGTTTTTTCCAACGGCAAAGACCATGAAGCGAGTCAAACAAAAGCCTTATGGGAGAACAAAACAAAACCAAGCCAAGGAATATAGAACCAACCGGAAAAAGGGAAAGGAAATTAAAACAATGTTAATACGCCATTTATAACCCAACTCAGACGCATAACCACCCCTGTCTCGCAAAAAAGGTACTCGGTCACTATTACCTTTTATCCTCAGCAACTCTAATTCTTATCCACAAGCCCTGCATATCCTTTCATTCGGAATTATAAATAATTCAGAGGTTATTTGTTTTCATAATCAGCGTGCATGCAATGTATAGCAAAGGTGTGGCTGGTCTGGGGAACGTGGATTTCCTCTCCCTTCCCATTGCAAAATCCCAGCCAGATCTGCATCTTTCCTAGGCTCTCTTCCCCCTGACCTCTCAAAGGGCTACGCTCATGACCTCCTGGCCTGCATGCAAACGCACACAGGATTTAACCGATTCTTGGCGATGACAATCCGATCTGTTTCAAGAACGCACACTACACGCCTGCCCCACTGATGTTTTCTGTGTCATTTTCCTAACACTCCCTCCTCCTGGGAGGAGGATATGAAGATCAAGGGGGAATGTTTGTCAAAGACTTCAGGCTTCTCAGATGGAAGGCAACGTTAAAGTTCAAGGGGGCTGGCATTCCTCTAGAGGTGGCGAAGGTGACTCTATATTTGGGCTTTAAAGAAGGAAATCAAGGTTGCGAAGACATTCGTTTATGAACATCAGCTTTCTTTTGCTCTTTTGCTGCAGGCGGGCAAATTTTTTCAAACATTCTTTAACAGGATTTCAACATTAGAAATATCAGGATCCTAATATTAGCGCTAGAGCCTTATAGTAAGCAGTAGATAGGGAGAAGCACCCTTTTCTCGGCCCTTCTCTAAGTGGCTTTCCCTCCTCAAGCCTCCCTACTGCCTGGCCCTACAACTCTCAACTTCCTCCTGTTGGAGGGGCCAGAAGGCAGCTGCCAGCTCACACGTTTGCTTTGGGCCAATAGACCAAAA